GTGGAGCAGGTGCTCGTGTAAGGGACATTTACCATGTAGGCATTTGCAGGATTGAAGGCCATGTCCCTCGGCATCTCAGACTTGCCAGTTGTGACATGGTGACTGAAATGCTTGCTTCCCTGCCTGTCTCCCTGACAGGGATGTTGGAAAGTGCTAATATTTGAACAGTGATGAATGTGAACAGTGCTAAATACAAACTCAATAGCAAGACATCTGTGGTGCATCCACAGGTTGCTTCCCTGTGGGGAAATGAGACTTACCTGGGGACAGTAGGAGCATAGAATGGAGCATATTGTAGTAGCTGCAGTCATCTCAAAATAATTCGGATATTTTCTTATTTCAGCTGCAAATATCAGACCTTCCTGAATCCGTTCATGAATTCCATTCTTCTCTGAATACTTGCAAGTTAAATAACAACCCAGTTTCTTTAGCCTTGCATAAAAATGTATAGTGGGGGAGAGTAACTAAGGTCTGTTAACTGAAGCTTTTTCTACATGAAACACTTTTTGCCCAGCTGCTGGTCTTGTCGCATATATTCTCCTCAGCAAGGAGAGTTCTCGCTGTTGCAACTGAGGCACCTATCATGGCTAATGCTCTGTCTTCTCATGACTAAGAGCATGTGTTACTCCTATGACTCATTCCTTTCTTATATTCCCATCTTTGCTCCAGTATGATTACAGTGTTCAGAAATTTTTTTTAAATATGAACCCTGTGCTTGGAAATTGCCAACAGATGAGCCATGAAGTGTGTGCTTTCAGTATCTATTAAGTTCACATAGTTTTGCTTTTTTTAGTTTTATATTTTTATTTAGCTTGAGCAGTCATGTTGGGGTTAGCAGGGGAAATGTGCACCAAGCTTGTATAAAATAAGAACTGTTTCCTGTCAGTATGTCTTTAGGCTTATTGGGGTCAGCCCTGTGAAATATCATTTAGCCTAACAATTTTACCAGTTCTGCTATTTTGTTTCTATTACCTAACTTCAGAGGTAGCAGTTTGTAGTTCACAAGAGATTGCATGCCTCATATTTTCTTTTTTATCTAGAGTTGAACAGGTGTGCTTTTGGCTACAGGTATACTTTGATGCATCAACATATGCCTGCCTTTAAATGGCTATTTGTGCAGCTTTTCATTGGTCTGCCTTGGAAATGAATGCTCTTCAAAAACTAAACAGGAAATCTGCATGGCCTTGGGAAACTTGCCAGCATGGAGTGGGAATCTGGGTGGGCTGAGCTTCTGAGCTGTGTCTTCTCAGGTTACTCTTTGCATGGGGAGAAAAGGAGGGCTTGCATATTTTTCTCTAGTTTCAGGTCATCAGTGCTCAAAAGATAGATGCTTAGTTACTGAATCATTTAGTACCTGCATGTGTTGTTCTTTTCCTCTTGGAATGTAGCAGCCTTTCATGAATAATTGTGGATGGTTCAGTAAGGGTTCATGCGTCTCCCGAGGAGTGAGATGGAATGAGTGCATTCATGACCCTGCCTTGTTATCTTTGCAGTGACACCATTGCCTTTGAGAAGGCCTACTGCGAATACAGGCTGAACAGAATTGAAAATGCCCTGAAAACCATTCAGAGTGCCAGCCAGCAGACAGACAAACTGAAGGAGCTTTATGGACAAGTGGTAATTATGGCTTTGAAAACAGTGCATACAGTTCATGATGGTTAGACTGATACATCTGTACTGAGAGGCATAAAGAAACTGTAGATGTGCTTTCCTTCCTTGCAGCTGTAACTTTAAAGGCTGTGCTTTATGTTTTGGCCCTGGTCAGTTCAATGCCAGAGCTCCCTCTGACTTCAGTGGGGATTAAAATGTCAGCCCTGCTTTAGTTGGCTTGGAAAGCCTGGCCCCCTGCTTGGGCAGCAGGCATTATTTTTGCATAGGTAGCCCCATAAGTTTTCTTCCTGGTCTTCCATTTTTACTTCAGCTCAAAGGGATCTGGTTTCACTGTTTCAGAGGACAGGGTAGCTTTCTAGCAGACACCAAATCAAGTGGCCCAAAGTTGACTGTCACTGTTTGCCCCCTGACATCACTCCAATCTGGTCTTGGGGAGAAGCAGAGTACCAGAAGAATCATTTCCTTTTCCCTGTGTGAGCCAGATCAGCTTTTCTTCCTTGACCTAGTCTTTTATTTGTTTCTACACACATCTCTTGAGATGAGGCATCAGGATGAGGTGCTCAGTGTTGGAACTGAAAAAAAGGAAGGAACTGTTCTTCCTTTTGTTTCCCTGGTAACTCAGAACCATCCAAACCTGAGGAAGCAACATTTTTTTACTAGAAAAAATGCCTGAAAGTGACAATCTAATCTAATCGAATCTACCCCTGAAGAATCTGACTTAGAATGTTAGGAAAGAATAAAATGGAAAATAAAGCTAGCTTGATTTTTTCATGAGTATACTTTTCAGATCTTCCTTGTGGTACTTGTTCAGGTGTCTGGTACTCAAACCAATTTCCTTCTGTCCTCAGTTGTATAGGTTGGAGCACTATGACGACTGCTCGGCTGTGTATCGGGATCTTATCCGTAACTCCCAAGATGACTATGAGGAAGAAAGGAAAACCAACCTTTCTGCAGTGGTTGCAGCCCAGAGCACCTGGGAGAAAGTGGTGCCAGTAAGTAAGTGTGTGTTTGTACTGGTGTGAGAGAGTGGTCCCTCTCCCCTCTAGTTGTGTCCCTGACGTAGCCCCTCTGAAGGTGCTTTGTGAGGCTTGTCGGGTTGGCAGTATTCTCCCTCTGTAAACCATCCTAGACAAGTGTCTGTCTAACTAATTCTTAAAAGCTATGGGAACAGACCTCACCTACGACTACCAGGCCTAGTGTCCACAACATTAAAAACACCCTTTAATTTGCCACAGGTAAGGTAGGGTGAGGGCACTGTTGCTGCTAGCTAACTGCACTCTTCCTTCTGGGGCTGTTGTCACTTGTCTTCCACAGTTTTCTTGGCTAAAATCCAGTAAGCAGCATCAGTGGCATCAGCTGACTTCTGTTTTTCCTGGAGGCTTCCTATTTCATGAGAGCATATTCTGGAGGATGTTGGTGACCTCTGGGTGTGTTGAAAATCAGTCATGAGATCACTTTTTGTGGTTCAGAGGCTGTTGAACAAATTCATGCTGTGTCAAGATTCTAACTCTGCTCACATGACTCAGACTTAACTAGTCACCTTCCTGCCAGTGGCTACATTCCATTAGATACTCCCATTCTTATATAATAAAGGGCTTAGTCTGTCTGTCTGTAATGCTCTTGAAGCACTCTGGTTAGTGAAACAACTCATCAAAGTGCAGAGGGCTGCCATGACTGTGGGGACAGAGGATAGAGCAGGAGGGCGAGGCCAGCACTGCTGGCCTGGCCCCTCCCCCCAGCCCTGCTCCTTGGAGGCAGCGCAGCACTGCCATGATGGCAGGGACAGAGCAGGCGTGTGGGCGAGGCTAGCAGTGCTGGAGGCAGTGGTGGTGTAGGGTGCTGGCGGAGGAGGACGAAGGGGATGGTGGGACAAACTCTTCCACCCCTCACCCCCCAACACCCCGCTCCTGGGAAGCGGTGCTCTGTCTTTGCCCGCCTCTGTTATTCTTGATGAGGAATTGGCTAGGAACTGTATATCTGTGTGGTGTTCCCATTAGCTGCAGCAGATAAATGGCACTGTTTGGTTTCTGTTTGATTGTATCCATTAAAGCTTAAGCAAGTGCAACAGGATGTCTTACCTGTGGAAGTCAATTTACAGTGACTTTCCCAGACAGTGCAGTGACAGAATTGCCTGTGTGTGAGAATTGACTTAGTAATAATTCTGCAAAGTCTACTTATGCCCAGGGAAATTTTACTAATCTCTCTATCAAAGGAAAAACCCTTTGCAAGCCCTATATTGCTTTTAGGTGTTGGACTCATGAAGCCATGTACATTTTTCTAATCTGACTTCTGATGTGAAAAATCTGTTTTTCAAGCATTTAACCACCTGCATTTGCTCCATGCCAGGAAGATTTGGGTCTCCAAGAAGCTACCTATGAACTGTGTTACAATGCTGCATGTGCATTGATTGGGCAAGGCAAGCTGAATGAGGCAATGAAAAAACTACAGAAAGCAGAAGGTAAAGACATGGGGAAAGAGTGTGTTGTCATTTGCTGCATGTGTGCACATTTGGAGAGAGGGAACACGGAATTGAGTCCTGGTCAAAAGTGGAAAACAGAGTTGGCCTGCTTTAGGCCTTCCCACTACAATTCCCTGGGAGCGTTTGCCCAGAATGTTTGGGAGTTGTAACATGCACCATTCCTTTAATACAACCCAGTTTCTTTAGCCAGTTCTTAAGGCTGGACAGATGCAGCTTTAAAGGTAAACAGGGAAAGAATAATAATAGTAAACTCATTAAGTATTGGTTGTCAGGAGGAGTTGTCTTCTGCATACTTGGTATGTTCTCTGACTTGATTTATGTAGGACAAAGATAAGAATAAAGTAATTCCTTTTTTTCTGGCATTAAAAACATAAGCCTAAAAATTGGTAGAGCCTTGTACTTAATATCCACAAGGAGCACATAACAGGCCCTTCTTTCATATTGAAAAAGCCAAAAGCCAGGAGGCTAAAGAATGGACTTTTCCTGAACTTGCCCTTTAAATGTTTCTTCTAGATCTGTGTCGCCAGTCGCTCTCAGAAGACTCTGTAAGTTTGATAATGATCTGAATCATTTGCATTTTCAAAGCATTTGGTGATTTGTCGTGTGATTTCTTGTTAAGTTCCCATATGATATTTTGTGCATCAATAGTCCTCCCTGCTGCCTGTATTGCCCTTCTAATACCACCCTTGGTGTCTGAGTTGTAATTCTGCATAGTGCTGAAATGCTCATTCTTGGAGATTAATTATTTTCTTTGCCTCAATTCTTGTGTGGTCACTTAGCCAAGGGCCCTCTGGGTGTGTAGCACATCAATCTGACACACCTGCTCTGTGCTGGTAAGAATGATTGCAAACTGAAAGATGGTGAGGAATTGAGCCCATAAGTCATGATTCAAAATTAGCACGTCGCAGTCGGTGCCTACTACCTAGCAGATTAAGCACTCTGGTTTAAGGGTGACTTTTCTGCTGTTATATCTGGTAAACTTTTTCTTTTTGTATTGTGATTTTAAACTTTGCATTTTTTAAATCATGTTGTGACTGACTTGCAGGTTATCTCTGTAGTGGTGGGGATTGAAACTAGTGATGCTGCCAAAAATATGTTGTAAACACCTTTCTGCAAAATGCTGGAACCAGGTAGTGTAAGAAAAGAGATTTCACGTGGTTTTGCCTTGATTTTTTTTTTCTCCCCCTTCAGGATGTGACTGAGGAAGACATTGAGGCTGAACTGGCTATTATTCACGGTCAGATGGCTTATATTATGCAACTGCAGGGTCGCACAGAAGATGCTCTACAGCTTTACAATCAAATAATCAAATTAAAGTAAGGGCTTTATTAAAATGAGCTCTCCATTCACATGGGATGAGGTTACTGCATAACAGCTGTGTGTTTTCTCATTTGTCTGCAGGCCAACAGATGTGGGATTGCTTGCTGTAATTGCAAATAACATCATTACTATTAACAAGGTATAGAATGTCCTATCTTATTTCTTTGCAAAAATGCTTCAGAAAGCTGAATGAACACAGAATTCTGCAGTCATTACACCCAGAGTTTCCACTGACATTTAGAAGTGAAAGAACTATGCTAGCTTATAAGTAATTCTGTTTACATTACTGCCCTAATCTTTCCATTATTTTTAGTGCCAAGGGTCTCAATCCTGTAAAAATTTAACTACATAAATTTGCATACGTATGCATCTGAAGTCAGTGTGATGGCTCACATTTGCAGGATTTCAAACTTATAAAACTGGAGTGTGCAAGCGTATGCATGTATTTTTCAGTTACATGATTGAGTCAGTTGGAGAAATGTCAGTGGTTGCATTTAGGTATGGTATGTTTGGACTTCCATAGCTGGCTGTAAGCATTGTGCAGGCACATTGTGGACATGAGGCCTTTGTGCTACTGTTAAATCCAAGTGAATGACTAAAATGAAAATTACTTGCGCATCTGTAAAGACTTTTATATGAAATCTTATGCAGATAGCATTTGAGATTTGCATTCTTGCCAAGTCTCACATTATTGTAATTTTTAAAATGTTTGCTTGGCAATCTATAATTGTGTCAGAAATCTGCTGGTTTTTATTTTGAAACTCCTAAAAACCTCAGCAGTGTAACAGAGCGTACCCAGCAGAGTCAGCTTGACAGTGCTTTTTCCAGAGGCAGGTGTCACTCGCAGTAGAGGATGCAGGTCGTAGATAATGTTTGTCCCTTCTTTGAGTACTTTGGTTAGTGATGAAATTTGTAATGTTGTTATTAGAGGAGCATCAATATATTGGTCCGTATTGGATCAGCACTGATAAAAGGAAAATTGACGTTATTGGCAGTTGGCTGTTTTTGGCCAGTGTAGGTGATAATCTTGCTGATTAAGTGCTGCATGCATGCATGTGGGGGAGGGAAGGGGTGTGGTTGGGGGGTGCAGATTGAGACCTGCACAGTGAGGTAAAGAGTGGAGCTGGGGTAGGGGCAGGTGCTGCCCAGCTGGAGCCCACAGTAGGCAGCTCGCCCTCACTCCACAAACAAATCCAGGGGGCACATGCCTCCTCTGTGGGTGCATGCAGTGGTGGGGAGTCGCCCATGGTTCTGTCTTGCACCCTGCCTTGGCTGTGCAGTGCCTGCCCCACTCCCTCCCTCCCTTACTGGGGGGGGGGGG